CCCCCCCCCACCAAGGCACTGATGGAAAGGGCTGGAAAATAGGCTGTGCTTCAGCAGTTCTCCACAGCGATTCTGCTTCTCACAGCAGTCACCTCCAGGATGTAAGTGATGCTCTGACTAGGGCTGGAGGGGTAGATGGGCCTGCTGCTGACTAGGGCAGGACCCACATTAACCAGTAATCAACTCTTGTCGAGTTGACCCCACGTGTGCTCCATAGGGTTTTCAGTGGCTCATTTTTCAGAAGTAGATCACTAGGACTTTCTTCCGAGTCACCTCTGGGTGGACTCGAACCTCCAACCTTTTGGTTAGCAGCTGAGCACATTAACCGTTTGCACCATCCAGGGATTCCAGGTCCACATATTCCTGTGCTTTCAGCTGGGAGGATTCTGGGTGTAACCAGAACTCCTGCCTCCTCCGAGGACTCTCCACCTCCAGTGCACTTTGGGGCAGGGCTGAGAAGTAGCAAGCTGAGGCCTGGAGCACCAGTCACCAGGGAGGTTTCTGAGAAAGGGACTCTGGGCTGTGTGCAAGTGGTGATACCACAGCCCGGGGGGATTTTGCTTTGAGGGGAGGGAGGATTGGGAGCTGGTGGCGCCTCATCCTTTCTCTTGGGGCCAAGCAGAGAGCTGAGTGTCTAGGAGTTTGCAGCAGCTGCCAGAGGTTGTGCAGGGCATTGAGGGTGCACAGGGCAAGCGGGGTGGCACCTTCTCTGTGACAGTTGTCTTCCTTAGCACAGCCTCTTGCAGTGATCGACATCAAGCTGGACAAGCCCCAGGAGCCCCCAGCCAGCGAGGGCGGCTGCTCCTGCTAATGCGGAGCCTGACAGGCTGGCTTCCTTTGAAACTACTCGCTTGTTGTGTTGCTTCCTATTGGTTAGCTTCCTAAAGGGGGCGGGAAATGAGTTTTATCAAGATGGGAGGACTTTTCTTTTCTCTCTGTCTCTAGGAGTAGGGTGGGTTGGGGAGGGAGGCTGGGCATCAGGGGTCATGTCACTCTAACAGCTGTTACTTAAACAACTATTTTTTGGTTTGGTTGTAATATATTGTACTTTATTAAGATTGCCAAAAACTGTTAAAATTTAAAAAATTTAAATCATGTGTATACAACTTTTTGCCGGATAAAAATGTAGTCATTTTTATTTGAGAGATGTGCGTTTTGTTTTTGTATATTTGTAAACTTACAGAGAACCCTTTCCACACACCTCTTCCTTCCTGTTCTCTGCTCATCACCTCTACCCTCCTCCCACCCCCAGCCCAATTCAGTAAAACAATTAATTGGGCAAGTTAATTAGACTCCAGACCCGGGCCATGTGGCCCAGACCAACCAGGCCCACCATGCAGGCCCTACGTGGTTAAAATCAAACACTGGTTAAACAAAACAGCCTCTGAAGAGGCAGCTCTGACTCTGTCCTCTGGTGGCCAGAATGCGACATCATCCAGGGCCCTGAGCTGAAATTAAGGCCTGTGGACTCCAGGGAGCCCTGCAGTAGGCCCCAAAGGAATTACTGCTGCCTCTTCTTTCCTTTCCCTGAAAAGCCTTGGAGAGTGTGGAGGGCATTTGCTACAGGAACTTGGTGTTCTCTGTGGCCAGCCATTGATTGCAGAGCAAGAGGTTGTTGGAAGGACGGGGTGCTGTTGGCAAATGCAGGCTGTGTCAAAGTGGGGTTTATAGACCGGCAATGATGTGTTCTTCTGAAAATGCTTTAGCCAGCCACCCAGCTATCAGCACACGTATCTGTGTTGAATCTACAGGAAAGACAAAAAGAAACTATGTGCAGTGTTAAGCAGTGTGCCACCCTGAAGCCCTCCCCTTGAGCTGGGGTATCAGGGAGGCCAGAGCCTGTGGGATCAGTCCAGGTGTGGTTGGGGAAGGGAAGGCTGTCTGCAGAACCATCTTTTTGAAACTACCTGTTCTCAGTCCTCAGTGGCTGGTATTGCTGAGTACTGTTCTGGAAAAGTCAACTTCTTGATTTTTCATCCCACTGGCACAGCACAGTTGAAATCCTTGTGCACGTACCTTTGTGGATATTGTAGCAGCACTGTGGTTGCCTGAGGGAATGTGAGGTGTGGGGTCTCCAGAAGGCTGCCCAGGCCCCTGGGCCCCACCTGCAGAGAGCCATCCCTGCCATTTTTGACTCATTCCTGAGACAGGCTTAGCCCTGAGGACCTGTGAAGTCTTTGAAGAGAGCACTTTCTTCTCAGTAGGTGATGTTACGCAGTTGGCCAGCATTCCAAATAGACCCAGACTTATGGACCCTGACCCTGTGCAAAGCCAGGCCATGGGCAGTGAGTCTGGCCAAAACAGTAAACCTAGCCTTCCAGGCTGGCCTTCTAGGCTGCTCGTGGGCATGTCACTGATGGGCTAAATGACCATCTCTGGTGTGGTGGGGGGTGAATGCCTTCACAAGACAGGACTCCAAAAAGGTTGTTGGAATGAATTTTCAAACTTCTCAGAAACAAATCCAAAATGGTGACCAGTAAGTACAACAAAACCTGGCAGGACTCACTGATATTTGTCCAAGGGCCAGCCACAGGCTTTCAGCCTAGGAGACTGTATGTCATAGCTGATATTTGGAGAGGAATTTATCTTCACATAAGGAAGAGAGGAAGCAGAATTCCCAGTGAGCTCCTCTTCCAGAAGGCGAAGACCAATGTATGAACATAATTCTGATGTCGTGTGTTTAATTTTTACAAGTGTGTACATAATTATATATAGATAGACCTGTGTATACACCTTCCACAGACACATTCTTACACGGAGGTCCATGTGCTCCCTGTATATTTTTATTTTTCCTGCTCTCAAGTTGGAACTTGTATTGTGATAACAGTTTTGGAAATTCAAAAGTACTGCAATGTGTTGAAATAAGAAATACTTAATATTGTCAAATAACTTGTGATTGTCTTGCCATCAATAAAATAATGCATAGATGTGTTAAACTAGAGGCATAAATCACCCACGGGAATATCTCCACCATCTTTCTCTCTTCATGTACTTATATGCACGGGTGTACATGCCTGTGTGGGCCAGAATCCCCCCACCACGGGCACACACCCAAGTGGTGCTTGTGGGAAGAGTGGTTACTTACCTCGTGAGGTTTCACAGAGTCCATATTATAGCATACAGCCTCGTTGGCGGTTAGCACCATCACTGATGGCTTCTGGGACAGCCCCATTCCCCACTCACAGGGTGTCAGTGAATGAATGAATGGTGGATTTTTATTTTCTTGGCACGAAAGAGTAGCTTTTGATAAACCATTCCTGTAAAACAAAGTAGGAACTCAGTTCTCTTGTCACATGCACACACATCCAAGGCACCATGGAGTGTTTTTCCATCTGGCCCTAGAGGAGCAGTCAGAGACGTGGTAGATGCCGTTTGGCTTGATGTGCTGTAGTGAGCCCTCCCTTTCCTAGTGTGTACACCACATCCTCTGCCCAGCCCAGTGGGCGTCTGAAGCTGAGGGCAGTTGCCTGCTGTTGTCTTCCCATCTTTAGAAGTTCCTTGCCATTACTCTTCTTTCCTCAGGATTGATTTCCACCCCTGGTTTCCTGGGTTCTGTTAAGGTAGCCAGACCTCTTTGACAAGTACATTTGGTCCTTGTCTCTCATCTTGAGCCGGTATCATCACTGTCCTTTTGCTTATAGGTAAGATCTTGACTCAGAGTTACGGTTCAATAAAATGATCAGATTTTCTTGAAAATGTCATGAAATTGCCTCAGCAACCCCAGGAAGAGTATTGCATCTTTGCTAAATCTGGATGGACTAGAAAAAGGCAAAGTGGATGATTCCTTTTAGGACATGATCTCAAGTTAGTAATTCAGCCCCTCTCTCTGAACTGGAAAATGGGTAGGGTCATCTCCTTTTGGCTGTCTGTGGCTGTCTGATTTTCTTTGGGAACCTCAGAAGTCAATAAAGCTCCTGTTACCCAGGCATCAAAAAAATTGAGTGAAATATGAAAAAAAAAGCACACACACTTACATGTACACACACACCAACATGGAGGAGTGAAGTCAGCATCTTGAGTTCCAGAACTGCAGTTGTGTAGCCCAAGGTTAGCCTACTTAGTGGTTATAAACAAGTTACCTTGGGTCAGAGGCCTCCCTGCTGCACTGTTGCCACCCTCTTCCTGGCCACATCCTCAAACATTCTGTAATGTTCCTGGGTCCAAGGAGCAATGGTCAGATCAGTTCAAGAGTCTCAGGGGATGGTACTGCTAGCTTCAGTGTCCTGCAGCTAAAGCAGCCTCATTCCTTCATTAGGCAGGTGAGGCTGTCAAGACATGAGAACAGGTAGCCTAGGTCTGAAGGACATGTCTCTGAGCCCTGTGAAGGGCTGCTGTGTGCATCAACCAAGGTAGGGCTGTATGTCCATGAGTTTCCAAACTACCTCTTCCCAAAGTAGTAAGGCATTGTCACCTTACTACAGCAGTGGACGCAAAGGTCCTGTTTCACAGGCGGGAAAACCAAGACAGAGAAGGGTGACTTGCTCACGATCACCCAGCAGGTCGGAAGTGATCAGAACCAAGGTGTTCTTCCATTGCTGACCTATATGTGCACAAGTGTGACTGTATACTTATGCATAAAGGACTGCTGTGCATGGATGCATTCCCCAGGCCGTCTCTACTCTGGTTAGGACTTAAGATTCTTCCAGCGTATTTATGTAAGCTGGGAGAGAATCCAGATGAATTTTGAGCTCCTCCACCTCAAAGAAGGGCCAGTCCCCAAGTCCAACATTGTTTTAGGCATCCTTTTGTGCATCAAAAGGCCAGGGCACCTTTTGAATTTTTGTTTGAAATGAACTATTTTGATATTCCAAAACCTTGGCATCTCTGTTCAAATTCCCTGGACTCCAGACCCCTATCTGGCTGACACTCCCAGCAGATGTGGTTTATCAGGAAAATCTTGCATGGAGGTTTGAGTGGTTCCTTTAGGAGGTGGGAAGCCTCCATAGCACTGAAGGCCAGCCTGCATCTCGTGGTGTGTGTCCACTTCTCCCCTCACCACCCCCATAGAGTGACTGGCTGTGAGGAGCACAGAGGATGGCATTTCCATCTTTTACTGGCTCAGAAGGCAATGGCAGCCATATTGACTTTACATAAAACTGTGTAAAACGTGGAAAAAGACTCAGCATGTTGGTCAAACAATAAACTGTCCTAATTCTCAACACAGAGCCTCTTGTCTAATGTGGTGTAGTCACACAAGGGGGGTTCAGAAAGGTTTCCTCAAGTCCATGCTCCACCCTTCTGTCTGGGAGGTATGTCTACTTCCCAAAGTCCTTTGCTTCTTCCTCCTTTCAAGTGGTCTCTCCACTAATTCTGAAGGGGAAAGGTAGGACAGACTGATGAGATTGAATGTACACTAATTTCCATTCCATAATCTCCATTGTGCCTAAAGGCTGATGGACAGGAGACCCCAGGCAGAACTGAGACTCAGGTGTGTGACATTTTCTTTCATCCCCACTCTCCAGTTACCACGGCTGGGCGTTACGAAGGTGTGTGCAGGGACTGGATCTCTCTTCCTTTTGGTGACTTCCAGAAAGCCATTTAAAGGCAAGAATTTAAGGTGAAACATAATCACCTTTCAGGTGGTACCAAGCTGCCACATACCACCCGCAACCTCATCCCACACCAACCAGGAAACATCCTGGAGGCCCCTTCAGCCCTCAGTCATCTCCAGACTGAAAGATGCCCTGAAGGCCAGGTAGTTCTGGGACTACTCCAAAGAGGTGTGTGTCCACTACTCCCCTCACCTTCCCCTCACCGCCCCCATAGTTACTGGCTGTGAGGAGCACAGAGGGTGGCATTTCCATCTCTTCTGGCTCAGAAGGCACCAGTGGCCATATTACCATACAAAGGCCAAGGTTAATGGGGCAGAATTGCCCTGGCCTGAGAATGCTCGCTGCATTCGAAACTTACCCTTCTGAGGCTGTGGAGTAGGCCAAGTTCACTAGGTCTCATTCTTCAAGTCCAATTTCACTAACTGCCTTTCCCCTTTAGTTCTAAAGGTTCTGGAATGTTCTCCAATCTGCCACCTCAATGAAGCCATCTCTGATTATGACAGACAGGAAGTAGTTGCCCCTACCCACTAAGCCTTGCTTTTTCTGCCTGTCAGGCGTAAAACATGAGGTAGAGCAGGTACAAGAGATGTGAAGCGGCAGAGGCCTGACAGCCAGAATGTGGATGTTGTCTGGACTAGATTACAGCCAGAGTAAAGCTGTTCCAAGCAGTCATCTCCCAAGGTGATGGTATTCAGGGCAGCAACATTTCAGATAGCAAAGAAAGTGCATAATCTCACTGGGTGGAGTGTTTAAACTCATACATGTTCAGCAGCCCCTTACTTGCCAGAATAAGGAAGCACTGGAGTGGCTCATTGACTTTAATGATGCAGAATGCCATGTGCAGCACTGCTGGGAATTACCCAGACATTGAGTGTGGAGGTTTTGGTCATCGTGAAATGTCCTGCCTAAACTGGACCGAATGGCATCCAGGATGCTGCCCTGGGGGCGTTTTCCTCATCACGGCAGTTGTGCTTTGCTGCCCAGTGACCAAGAGTGGAAAAAAGTGCTTTGATAATCTGTGCTTAAAAACTTCTGTAAAAGAAAAAGCATATTCTGGCTGAAACAAAATGATCTCCATAACTAGAATACCAAGTGCTTCACACATACCAGGCCCACACGGGAACACTGGGATCCCAGGAGGCACCAACACGGTCCACAGGAAGACAAGTGGCAGCCTCGGTTGGGGCTCCATGGCTGGCACAGCAGGACAAGAAAGTGAGGGCAGCACTGAAGCAGTCGACAGTGCAGCCACGGTGGTGGTCACACAAATAACGAGATAGGAGGGGAGCAGGGGCTACACTGAAGAGGCACCATTTTAACTTCAGATGGGACCATATACCTCTAAAGGAAGGAATCATGCTTTTTATTTCCAGGGCCTGGTGCAGTGTCTGGCCCACTTAAAACGGCATTTCAAAAGGAAGTGGAATTACTTTCCTGAGCAAAAGAAGCCAGGTGTAGTAATCACCTTTCTTTAAATATATGAAGGGCTGAAATAGAGAAGCTAAGCATCTTAATTGCTAATATCTTTTAGGTGATATGGGCATAAGCCAATTGAAGCTTTGATAATTTTGCACTAAACTCAAAGTAAATTAAGAAAAGGCAGAAACATCTGGCTGAAATTATCTCAGGTAAACAGAACATGGCCAACTGTCTCCTGCTAGACTCTCAGGAGGCACTGATACAGTAGCCACAGGAAGGTAAGTGGCAGACCCCAGACGCCCCCCACCAGCAGCACTTGTTCTTGATCAGAAATCAGGACCCCGTACAGACTGTCAAGTGCCTGGCAGCAGAGGCTGCCAAGGCCCCAGAACCTTTGAAAAGGTATTTGAAAAAACAGCCAGATAAAGAACCACGTGGCCAGTGCCCAGAGCCTTCTTGGTCTGCATGTTCCACCCACTGGAAGATCTCACCTCAGAACCAGACAGTATTTACCAACAGAGTGCCCATGGCTTATTCATCACAGCTGCCCCTCTACCAACGGCATCTCTCCACAGCCTTAGGGAACAGGGTCATCTGTATCATGTGGCAGCTGTTCTAGGAGCAGGTCTTGGTGCCCATACACACAAGGAGTGGCTCAGACACTGCCATGTTAGTTCCAAGCACAACTGTCTCATACATGACAGTTATACCCAGTCTACCTGTCCTCATCACCTGACAAGCCTCTTTCCACTTGTGTTCCATATCTCCGGAAGAAATGGAATGACTTGGCCTGCATGGCTGCAGGGCCACAAAAGGATACCACCAGAGCAGAGAACACATTTGACCGCGTATTTCCATCCTGTTAAAAACTCTTTCCAGGTTGCCAAGGACTGATCACCATGACCTCATCCTGGCCCAAACCCTTAAGAATGGGATGGCTGTAGTACAGGAGTAGGAGGCAGGATGATATCCCAGGAGGCACTCTAACCTGCTTGTTTGCTTCACCCTGTTAAGAAAAGCAGAGCTTGGGGCCCCAAAGATTTAAGGCACATGAAAAAACTTAAAGGCACACCTGATACTCAAGGCCAGATCGCCTCAAAGTATGTGCCCAGGATCCCCATGTGATGGTACCGGGCTGGCTAACCATGCAGTTTCCAGAGCCCACACCAGACCTACTATTGAAGCAGAATGCCTAAGGGCCAGGTCCTCAAATTAGCTTGTTTAACAAGTACTGTGGGTAAAATTCTGACAAATGTTAACATCTGAGAATCACTCAAGATTGCAGATATAACTTTCCTTCTTCAGAAGACAGTGTTTATGCCTTGAATAAAACCCAACCTTGCTCTCCTTTCATCACCTTTTTGGCATATTGCTTCCTCCAATAAAGTAAACAAAAATAGAAAAAAAAAAAAGGCTGAAAGAACACATGCCTTTCGACAGGCATCAAGCCGTTGGCTTTTATTCTGTCAACTGTGAGCACCTACTGATTATGTGAACATGTCACATTCATCACATGCCTTCCTATGTCCAGATCATTTTTCTTAGCTACCTCCTCAAGCTACCACTTCACTAATAGTGAAAAGTGAACACCAGTAGCAATGAGTCTTTCAAATAAGAACTCTGACAAAGATAAAAGTCTAAAGACTTTTCTATTTCAGATGGTATTTTTTCATACACCAGCAGCACTGCAAAGTGCCCAGTAGAAGGGGCACTGGAGTAATTCTGCCAGCAATGGCAGTGGATCCTGGGTGATCTGTACTTACTCAGAGCCCCTAAGTGAACCGCAGGCAGAGACACGCTAGACAACAGGCAGAGGCTTGGGCTGTGGTGTACATGGGATGGGGGCCACATTCAAACTCTGATGTGAACAGCCCAATGCTTTTACTTGGCTCTCCCTGATCCCTCACAACCAGGTTACGTGCCCCTGCTATGTGCCATAGCACCTTGCACCTCCCCTACTATGGCTCTTACACCACTGTTCTGTGATTGGCTGCCCATTTGTCCACAATCCCCACCCCCCTGTCTCCTTTTAAGCTGCAGGTGAGTTTGTCCTGGGATGGGAGAGTTAGTTCCTGTGTACACTACAATCTTTAGGCCCTGGAAACTTGAAGTTAGGCCTGAATCCTAACACATTTGTACTCACCATATCATTCTATTTAATTTCTTTAAGCCAGACAGATTGCTTTACTTACCAAGAAATGTATTATTTATAAAAGCCATAAAAAGACATATTTAAGACAGCAAAGAACATTGCTTTTAAAAGGCAGACTTTTTTTGCGTCAATGAATATGCACTTCAAAACTGCAGAGAATTTTTTTCATTTCATATTTGTTCCACAGCATTTTAGCTAAGGGTACAAAACAAGAGCTGATCAAGCAACACATGAAGATAGCCCAGGAGCCCTCAGCCAGCCAGTGGAGCATAACAGTTTCTAAATCTCCCTATATTCCCCAGTTATGGGAAACTGCTAGAACACACTAGACTCTTGGCATGTGGGGGTTAGCATTTACAGTTCTATTATCTGGGAATGACTCCAAGGGTTCACAAACATATGTTTCAGAAGTGCTATAAGGCTGGAGTGTGGACACATCACTGAGCTGATGAACAGAGCCCCCTGCCTGGCATTCACATCTCCACTCCATGTTGCTACTTTCTACTTGCCTTTGAATGTGGGGAAAACCATACTGTACCTAAAAATGTGCGAGTTCAGAGGACTAGGGAATGTACTGCCTATGAAAATCAGGGGCAATTGGAAATCCACTGGTTCCATAAATTGGCCGATTTGTTTCCAGGCAGAAGGGACCAAAGCACAGAAGCAGAGGATAAGAGAACTTTTCAGGTTAAAACCATTCTCATAATAATACCCTCTCTATGTGGAGTCTGCCTTGTTATGTCACAAAGACCTTGACCCTACATCAAGCACAAGCTAAAGGGACATTACATACACCTTCCAGAGGGAAGATACAGGAGTCAAATAAAAATGACCACAGATGGAAAGGGAATAATAAAGATCTGAAGTTTAAAAAAAAAAAAATCCCAAACTGGTTTCAACAGTAGTTTGTTTCTGGAACAAGATACTGTTTCTAACCATATTTTGTACCCCTTCTTTATCAGCTCTGAGATACAGCCCTTTCCAAAACTGTAGTCACACACAAATCCACGTCTTCTGCTCAGGCGATTTTAGCCAGCCATTTCTCCAAGTCCTGGATGTCAGCAGGGCCACTGTCTCCTTTTCCACCCTTGGCACTACACTCCAGGAACTCCACTTTGAGGGGCAACTGTGAGAATTCAAATTCTTTGCCTTTCTTTCCCAGCTGAGTGGGGATGGTGCTGGAACTGTCCAGTGTGCTGGGGGCAGCAGAACGGGTGACTCGTAAGGTGTTGCTGTGAGGCAAAAGGAAAACGAGTCAGGAAACAAAAAGTTTAATTTTTATGTAGCATAAATATTTAGTTCCTAAATATTTCAGCACTCAGATACTTAATCATAAAACGCTGAATTATACTATTAAGACTGTCTAGTAATCCTTTGCATTTGTAGATCACTCTCTTAGGTGAGATAGGCTCCAACCTTACATAGCTAGTGACAGGGCAGTCGTGAACCCAGGTCAACGCCACCTTTCAGCCTGGTGCCCCTACAACCAGGATCTCCTGAAGGATGCCACCTGTACATGCTACAGTGTGTTATAAAAACTCAATTTCTGGGAGTAAGTGTGGGTAGATAGGGTATTTATTTTTATCTTGATTCTATTTGGATATGGAGCTTAGAAATCCATAAACTCCAGACTCTCATGTCCAGTTTGGGCAAAATTACTATTCTCCAGCCTCTTTAACCACTAAGACCTTACCTTACTGCCACCTGCTGGCTGTAATAAAGGCACGTATGTTGCTGTGTGCCATCAAGTTGATTCTGATTCACAGCAACCCTACAGGACAGAGTGGAACTGCCCAATAGGGTTTCCAAAGCTATAATCTTTAATGAAAGCAGACTGCCATGTCTTTCTCCTGTGGAGGGGCTGGTGGGTTAGAACTGCCACCGTTCCAGTTAGCAGCCAAGCACTTAACCACTGCGCCACCATGGCTTCTTAAAAGAGATGTATAAGCAACACTAAATTTTTCTTAATTAGAAGAAATCATTTTTCTACCTCTCCTACCCTTTAACAAAGAGAAATACATGACACCCATGTGCTTTTTACAAAATAAAGCATTTCTTAATTCTATAAGGTTGCCTGAAATTTAACGGAGAACCCAGAGGCAAAACTACACAATGCCTTGGTTTAGGGACGGACAAACACACACACACACACAATAAAAGTATTTAAAAACAATATATAATTAATACAAAATTCAGAATATTATTTATCTCTTGGGGGAAAGAGGGAAAAGCTTTTGGGAGAAACACACAGGGGCCTCCTAAGCAAGGTGGTGGGTGCATGGGTATTCATTTCAGTATTCTTTAAACTCTATGCATGTGTCATATTTACTCTTTCATATGTAAGATATATTTTACAACAAAAAATTTTCAAGAATGAAAAACATTAAATGTATTTAGCTTTTGCCACAGGGTCATGTAGATATGGTAAACCTTGATTTCAGAAGATTATGAAAGTGCTTCAAAGCTGATAAGGCATAATTCTGACAAACAATGGATTAAACTAAATGTTAACCTTTACAACTTTCCAGTATTTCACTTCACTGCCTGTTCTGTTTTTCTATGGCACTTATAAGTGAAAAGCAAATGGATTAAGGAAAACGTGTCTTTCAAATATTGGAAGACTTGGACTATGCTGTTAAAAAAAAAATTGATACACAAATAACATTATGATAGCCTTTGTTCCCCAAAACAATTCCTCACAATTGCAACTAAATGTTTAGATAAACCAAATCATCTAATTGTTCCAATTCCCTTAGCCTAATAACAAACAATGTACACAGCCTCAGGAGAGTGAGTATCAAGCGCATGGGAAGATGGTAAAAATGAAACTTCAGAAGGAAAAGAAACCTCTGAAAATGATTTAACCAGGACCAGCAAAATTTTTCTGTAAAGGACCAGAAATCAAGCGTTTTAGGCTTTGTGGGTCGCATTCAGTCTCTGTGGCATATTCTTCTTTTTTTTAATTAGCCCTTTAAAACTGTAAAACCATTCTTAGCTTGCAGGCCCCTGGCAGAAGTTTGCCAACCCCTGACGCAGACCATACTCTACTAGACTCAGCTCCTGAATACAGGAACTGTATCATATTTTTTCCTACGGCCACATTCTGAGTGAGGGCTTGGCATGTAGTAGATGCATTACAAGCACTTGTTAAATGAATAAAGGAGTTGATAAATCATAGTTAGGAAAAAACTGTGCTAAAAGTTGAATTCATACACTTTTTCCTCATTAGATCCTTTTGTTTAAAAAAAAAGTCCTTAAACTAAAGAAATAAAAAAACACAATTTGCTGTATTAAAATGTGGATCGTTTTTTCTAAGCAAGCTTTTGGCTGGCTCTTAGAAGCTGGCAGAACACAAAGACATGCTAGATTCCTTAAAATTCAAAAGCTTATAGCTCAATTTATAAATTTTTAAACACTAAAAGCAAGCTAAATGATATTGCTAAAGTAGCTTGAAAACATAAAAGAAGCTACAAAAATAGTGTATTTTTAATTCTTCCCAAATGTTCCTTTCTTATTTCATCAACAAAAACCTCCAATGACTTTAAAAGTTTTTAACTTCTAAAATCTTTAATTTCTACTATTAATGGGTTAGTAACAGTAGTAAAATAAATCACGTGAAACCATTTCAATAAATCTGAGACCTTCTTTTCATGAAGATTAAAAATCTCTATAAGCATCCCATTAATGCTTTTATAATTCCATTAATTCTTCCATCAAGTATTTAACAAATATATTTTATCTTAATCTTCAATCTTATTTTGATAATTATACACAACCTAAGAAAAGAAATATGATTACGCTGCTTAAGGTCTAATGGTGAAAATATATAATTAACCAATAGGCCTCATTCACACTTACAGTTCTTTTTCAAGCTGCTGCTGAATTAACTTCGCTGATTTTGCCATTGCAATATCTGTAAAGAAATAAAGACATTGTTGTCATTTAAATCAGAAGGGGTCTTTCCCCAAGACTTCTGGAACAGATGGAAAATTCCTGTATAAACCATTAATTTTCTTCCCTCCTCCTTTTTTTAAAAAAAGAGCTTTTATTATTAGCTCCTTCTTTATCTAAAGTAAGCTTTACATTTGCACATAAGGGTCTTCCTAAGATAATGCTTATATTATGTTGGTGACCCTAAAAACAACTTCAGCTCTTTCACTACAGTTTTCTACATCTTGCCAAAATCCAAAAACAACCCACTGCTGCCAAGTCAATTCCAACTCATAGCAACCCTGCAGGACAGAGTAGAACTGCCCCAAAGGGTTTCCAAGACTGCCACAACTTTCTCCTTCAGAGCAGCTGGTAAGCTCAAACCACTGACTTTTCAGTTAGCAGCTAGCTGAGCGCTTAACCACTTTGCCACCAGGGTTCCTTGTATACCTTGCAGACCTTCTACATTAACACATACACATATGTTAAGTCCAGCCAGTATAACAAAAAGAAAACCTACCAGCTTTGTAATTTTAAGAAGAGCCTTCATTTGAACAGGTAATACCCTACTTGTCATTTAAAAGTAAACTTAGCATATTTTCAGCTGATACTCAGATGTTTATGTTAAAGTATCAAGTGCACAAGAGATAAGGAGTATGTGGTGGTTTGACAAAAAGCAGATGCCCGATAAATGTTAACTCCCCTCCTTATACTGAATAGGAGAAATAAAGAGAGGGTCAGGTAATAATTCTAAGACTGCATTCCTGATTTGGCATTGTTAGGGCTATTACCTGATCACTTCTGAGAAATGCCACAGGCTCTTCATAGACACAGAATTTTAGATCAGAAAGAGGCCTGTGGAGATCATCTAGTCCAACTGTCTTGTTTTACAGGTAATGAACTAAAATCCAGTTTAATTGGTTGTGACTACAAAGTTTTTAACGGGTAGCAAGTTAAAGAACTTTCTACAAACTCTCCTTGATAGATTTTGCTGGATAGTAAATTTGTTTGAAAGGAGAGTCTAGCCTGTCCCTCCAAAGTTGTGTATGTGATATGAGATATTATCAATCTGATTAGGTTAACTTAATATAGTAAAATAATTTATAACTAAAAAGAAAAAATACTGAATCAAAGAAAAATTGTTAATAGTCTCTCTGCTGTCTTTTCTTAAAACGGCCTGGTAAGAAGAGTGACAAAAAGGTAGGAGCAGAAATAGATTTTACGATTTAAAATTCTTGAATTTACAGTTCATTATACAGCAACTATCTTTCATCCTCATAATAAAAATTGTAGGTAATTGTACTAATTCTTAGTAGCAATCCCAGAAAAATCTCCATTATTATTGCCAGAAAATATGATGGAACCTTGCTTATTGCAGGCTATTAAAAATGATGGTGCATTCTTCAGACCCATAGTGTCAATGAGAACTTGATACAGGAACTCAGCCACGTCTTTCACCTCTCGCTGGAATGTTGCACTATCCACAACAAACACAACAGCCCTAGAGAGGGAAATAAGAAAAACCAGCATATGAACACGCAGTAGTGCAACATCACCTTGACAAAAATGTATCCCTGATTCCTCCCAGTCAGTCCTAGTGAATAACACAAAACACACAAACACATGCAAATGCGTGCACGTTATCACACAACACAAATACTCAATGTAACAAAGACCTCTTGAGCGCTACTATGTATCAATAACTGTAGCTGAAAAGATAATAATAAATGATGCCTGCCCTCAAAGACCAAGAAATCATATACAGAACAGTGTGATAAAATGCGAGGATGGACCTATACACACGGTGTAAAGGGAACAAAGAAGATCATTTAAATGAGACCAGATCATGGAGGACATTATGCTGAGTGAAATAAGTCAATCACAAAAGGACAAATACTGTATGAGACCATTATTATAAAAATGCATGAAAAGTTTCCACACACAGAAAGAAACCATCTTTGATGGTTAGGAGGGAGGGGAGGCATGAGGAGGGAAAAACACTTAACTAGATAATAGATTAGTGGTAACTTTGGTGAAGGGTAAGACAATACACAATACTGAGGAAGTCAGCACAACTTGACCAGGACAAAGTCACAGAAGCTTCACAGACACATGCAAAAGCTACTGGGCTGAGGGCTGGGGACCATGGTCTCGGGGGACAGCTAAGTCAACTGGCATAACATAGTCTATAAAGAAAATGTTCTACATCCAACTGTGGTGAGTAGCGACTAGGGTCTTAAAAGCCTGCACACGGCCATCTAGGATATATCTTTTGGTCCCATCCCAGCTGCAGCAAAGGAGAATGAAGGAGACCAAAGACAGAAGGGAAAGATTAGTCCAAAGGAGTAATGGACCACAACCTCCATCAGACTGAGCCCAGAACTAGATGGTGCCTGGTTACCACAACCAACTGCTCTGGCAGGGATCACAACAGAGGGTCCTGGACAGAGTGGAAGAAAAATGTAGAAAATTCAAATTCACACAAACACAGACACACACACATAAACCAGGCTTGCTGGTCTGACAGAGACTGAAGAAACCCCAGAAGTATGGCCCCTGGACACCCTTTTAACTCAATAGTGAAATCATTCCTGAGGTTTACCCTTCAGCCAAAGATTAGAAAGGTCTATAGAACCAACAATAAATAATACACATGAGGGATGTGCTTCATAGTTCAATCATGTATATGAAACTAATGAGCACACCAGCCCAAAAGCAAACACGAGAAAGTAGGAAGGGACAGGAAAACTGGACAAATGGAATAGGGAAACTGGGGTGGAGAAGGGGGAATGTTGACACATCACAGGGTTGGCAATCAATGTCACAAAATAATTTGTGTATTAACTGTTTAATGAGAAACTAATTTGCTCTGTAAACTTTCACCTGAATCACAAAAAGGAAAGAAAAATAAATGAGACCAGATCAAAGAAGACTTAAAGGAGAGATGTGACAGTTGAGCTGAACTTTAGCAAGACCAAGATATGTGGCACAAACTGTGGAAAGTAGTATGGGCAAGGCACAAAGAAATGAAATAACATGCCCTTGAGAACTCCAAGTAAGCTGGTACCTAAGGGGGTATGGGTTAATGGTGGGAAAGGAAGGGCATGACACACTAACTTATGGAGTTCACACTTTTATGTCTTACAAAGAAAATATTGGTGCCTAAACAGAAGACAAATCTTAGAGGGCAAACTAGAATAGTTAGAGCCCGACGTAAGACAGCAAGCAACAGTGAGCAGCCTCATGTGCCCAAAACAAAGAGACATTAAAGCTAAAGCATAGCAGCCCAGGGAAATGAGAGAAAACATTAAAACTCTAGCCTTCAGGAGCAAGGGTTCTGGTGCCCAGGTGGAGACAGGCTGGGGAGCTGGAACTGAAGCCCCTGCACAAAGGCTAGAACTTAAAAAGCAGTCTAATCCATGAACGGGAAACAGAAAAACTCTGCCATTGGGTCAGGGAAACCTCAAAGAAATTTGATGGCTAAGGCCTTGGGGTGGGGGTTGGGGAAAGGGGAAAATAATCCAAGAGAAATTGAAACACCAAGCCTCCTGTGCCTCACAGGGTCTGAATTTACACCCCGTCATGTGTGAGATCCCTAAGCTGAAAGATTTACATAAAAATTGTGCTAGATTCATTGAACCCCTATGGCCCCAGCAGAAGCAAATAGGAACCCTTTCTGGAGAGAAGCTTTCATATCCCAATGCATTAAAAAACACAACCACAATAACATCAACAACAAAACCCAATTCCCTCGAAGAGAGGTTTTGGATCAAAAATTACAAACCATAAAAGAAAACACACTATTGTGAGGGAGAATAATCGGCACCCCAAAAACTAGAAATAGAACAATTTATACAATAAATATGTTTAAAATTATTCAAAAGTATTCTAGAAACCATAATAAAAGAATTGTTAGTTGCCGTCGAGTCAATTCCGACTCGCAGCAAACCCCAGGATAGTATAAAAAGAAACAGGCTGATTTGAAAAAATAAGTATTTTAGAAGTTAAAAGTACAGCAAATGAAATTAATAACTTAATGGAAAAGTTAAGCAGAGATTACTCTCAGCTGAAAGGAATTAAACTGGAAAACAAATCTGAGGGAATCACACAATATGCAAGGTAGAATGGTCCGGAAGATATGATGGAGAAGACATAAGAAGGGCAGAAATGGTAAGGTTCAATGATGTTAATAAGAGCTCCAGGAGATGAGAACTGAAATGGAGGAACAGCACTACCTGAAGAGACAGTGGTGAGAATCTTCCAAAACTGAAGATGTCAATGACACACTTCAATTCCAAGCATGACAAAGCTAAGTCCATCCCTGAACAAAAGAAAATCTACCCCTGAACAGAGGGGGAAAAGGACAGATCACCCATAATGAAATGACAATTAGATTGACAGCAGCCTTCTCAGCTGCAACAACAGGGTCTGAAGTCAGGAATAACGCCTTCAGTGTTACCATTCCATACTCAGCTCAAACAGTCATTCAAAAATGAGGGCTAGATAAAGACAGTTTCAAATAAACAAAGGACCAGAAATTTTACCACTTATTCACTCTCCCTGAAAAAACGTCTAAACAGTATACTCAGTAGGAGAAAAACTAAACCTAAAAGGAAGGATTAGAATGTAAGAAGCAACAGATTACAAAGAAATCTGTAAACATCTTAGTAAATCTAAGTAAACACTGAATGTAAGAGAAAAAATTACTAATTTTGGAGGGCTTAAAAAGGAGGCAAAATAAAAGGAAGATGTGAGGAAGATCGAAGTTATTTATTCAGGTTCAAGAAAAGGAAATAGGCATTATTAATTTTAGACTTTTGTTAAGTAGGCAATGTTTAAAAAAAAAAAAAAGGAGGGAGGTATTTCTATAAAAAGAAGAAATAGAATACTTTCAAACCAGTAGAGGGGGAAGAGATTCAAGAAACTTGATTAAGCCAGACGGCAGGATTAAAAAAAAAAAAGTCACAGACAAATATATGTCTTTTTATTCAATTTGCATTTATTGTGATTATGACTTACTTGAACTCATTTTTATCTTCAAATTTTGAAGATAATTTATTTCTATTACCCAAAATACTTGGATCAAAAAGTAATCATACCGCAAGTTTTAAAATATTTAGAATTGACAGTAGAAAAAGGTTTTTTAAACCCAATTATGGCAAAATTTACCCCAAAAAGAAGGCAGATTACCCACAATGAAATGACAATGAAATGTCATTGAGACAGATTTGTCTCAGTTGTTTCAGGAATAAAAATCACACATTCTCATCTGTGACAGATTGCTCATCACCACCATCTTGTGGAGCAAGGAAGCAATAACAAAATGTAAGCCCACACATCAAATAAGGGAAAAACCAACTACCACATTTCATCATACCTCAGATGCCATTAATTAAGACACACAATTATTTCTGGTGCCACTAGGAGAAAATACTGCCAATTGAACTATGACACTGTTGACTATAAGAAGCATTCCAATTTCAGAGATGTTAAAATATGGCATACTAATATTCACCTTCAGTTTTTAACAGTGTTAGAATGCAAGCAAGAAGAAAGCATCTCAACTGCAGCACAAGACTTTTAAGAAAGAACTTAAGAGTCAACTGAGACTGGATATTAAAAGAAATGCAAAAATCTTGTTCTGATTTAGGTAATTTAAGAATTGACTTATATGTAATGTTGGATTTTAATAACTTCTAAGATCCCTCTTAGCTTTAAAATTCTTTAAGATTTTAACAGTCCTACACGTCATGAAATTTGCTCTCAGAGAAAATGCAAAATTTAATAACAATGACAATAAGAGTTATAACTTTCTAAACATTATCTTATATAACCCGCACAAAAGCAACCCAGAACTTACTGACCCCAAAGTTCATACCCTTTCCACTCCAGGACCCCCATGCTCCCTTCCCGAGTACCACCAGAGCAGCCAGCCCACCAGAGCAGCCAGCCCGGGTGGCTTCAATACAGACCAGAAAGATCCGTTTCATTCCTTCCTACTTACCTGGCTGAAGCCTTAAACCGCTCTAAGAACTGAAGCCGCAGGCTCTCATGGCCAGGGAGGTCAATCAAGGTCAGGCTATTACCCTGAGGATGGCAAAAATAACAGTCATGTTTGAGTCCAGTTCTATGTTCACAACAGTGACATTTAGTATCAGATTTCAGGTAGCAGACTGGTGCATAATTACTTAAGGACTCAAACAAATGTTCACTAAACATCTTTGACTTATAAATTAGTCAAGTTGAGATATAACAGTGAACAAAAATAGACATGGTCTCAGGTCTAATAGGGCTTATACTAAAATGAGGAAGATCAACACAATGTAAAATTACATATACATTTGAAATTACAACTTTGATAAATGTTCTGAGGGTACATAAGAAAACTGACCCCGTCTGGGGGAGTTAGGGAAGTGTGGTCCATCTGAGGCTAGGGAGATACACCACTATGGTTAAACACAAAAACATGGGAAAACAGTGACAAACATTCACAAATTCAATGTAATTTAAGAACCTAAAATTTATCATACAGCATGATATCATTATGGGGGATCCCAATCTTTATAGCAACAAATCACCTTTTTACCATTTCTACCTTTAATTTCTAAATATTTGTCTAGCAGATACACCATTTATTTGTTGCACTCTGTCAAACGTTTGTGCCAATTCTTGATCCAGACTGCAATCACTGAAACACAGGAGTAGTGATCCTATTAAGCAAGCCCGTCAAGCATACACCACTGCAGGCCTTCATCCTTGATCTCATGTTCAATGTAGATGTGGCTATGCTCAATAAGACTCTCAGATGTGGCCATGGTACATGTATCAGACCCACTGATTATTGTTCAGATGTTCTACTTTATCCACAGGCAACCATAGCCACTGGTCAGCAGGAGGGATTCAGCATCACGCACAGATTCCACGCAAGCCCAGCTGGCTTCATTATGACCTTTCAGCTAGTCTGTGCAGCCCCTTTATGTGTAAATGTACAATATCTAATTAGTCTCTTTGTTTTAAATACTGGTGAGAGTCCAGAAACCTCAGGTTGGAACCTACTGCTCCATTTGAAACTCAGTATAGCACCATATACCATAAGCAATCCAGAAGATTCATTACTATCTAGACAGACACTAGATCTAAAATATAAGGGGGTGGGAGGAGGGAGGAAAAAAGGTAAAATCAACCATTAAACGTTCTAGAGCAGCGCTGCTGAATAAATATAGTGCAAGCCATATGTGTAATTTTAAATTTTCTAATAGGCATAGTTAAAAAGTTAAAAAATATATGAACCTAATTTTAATATTTATTTCATCCAGTGTAGCCAAAATATTATCATTTCAACATGCAATAAAAAACAAAACAAGAAATTATTAACAAGATATTCTACATTATTTTTTTCATACTAAGTCTTCAAAATCTGGTGTGCATTTTATACTTATACCATTCCAAACCAAAACCTGTTGCCATCAAGTCAATTCTAACTCATAGCAACCCTATAGTACAGAGTAGAATTGCCCCATAGAATTTCCAAGGAGCAGCTGCTAGATTCAAAATGCTGACCTTTTGGTTAGCAGCCTGAGCTCTTAACCACTGCGCCACCATAGCACACCTCAATTTGTACTAGCCATATTTCAAGTACTTAATATCCACCACACATGCTTAGTGGCTACTGTACTGGAAAGCACAGGTCTAAAGTATACTCTGGAGTACCCCCATGTAAAAAATCCGATACCAATACCCCTGAATTAATGATCTCCTAAACCTGAAATTTCAAAAGCAGATTCCGTGGGAGTTTAAAAAGGCCTGGGCCAGAAAGAGTACCATCATTGAAAAAGGCAAAATTTTCTCAAAGACATCTAACGAGATGTCCCTTTTAGCTGATTACTATGTTTAATTCTGTTGGCACCACACAGGAGGCGGGGGGAACCCAAGGAGAAGGGGAACAGGTCTGTAAAATCATTCTAATTCATCCATTTATCCATCCACCCAGCCCTCACTCCATCACTCACTCACCAAATATTTATTAACATTATAACCAACCTGGCAGAAACTGCCTACATTCTGGAGCTATCAGAGCTCCATTCTGGAGCTAGCCAGGCATATAAAAAGTCTTCCCCATGATTCTTTTTTTGAAACATACTCATGTATACTCTTGAAGATATGCACTACAGCACTGTCTGTAAAAGCAAAAGATTATAACAACAAAAAAAACCCTAAATGGCTATTAATTGGGCTCTGATTAAATAAGAATTCAATTGTACAGCACAGCCACACAATGGAATACTATGCAGCTCATAAATGAACCAGGTACTAATGTGGGGGAAAACCCCAAGCTGTATCAGCTATATTGTTAAATAAATTAAAAAAAAGGGTGGGGGGCAGAACAGAGGGTTAAAAATAAATTAAACGAAATGTATACATATGTTTGTATATGCACAGAACATCTGGAGGTTACACATGAAAATGGTTAACAGTTATTGCTTCTAAAGAGGGAGCCTGGGTAATGGGGGCAGGTGAGGCAAAATTACTTTCCACCAAATAATCTTTTAACCTTGTCAATTTTTGTCCCATGTACATGTATTACCCATTTAAAACACAAAGGAAAAAAAGCAAAAGCTTAATACCCACACTTAAGAACTCACAGTAAAGTTGGAAAGACACAGAAACAAAAAATTAGAATAAAATGTGATGCAGCATCAGTGTGCATAAAGTACAACAAAGCAGAGGTGGGCTTGATTAAATCTGCAGCATCTATGGTCAAGAGCAGAATTTGTCACATAGACTACATTTCTCCATAACAGTAAGTTACAAATGGTACTTAAAACCTCAGACTAATTCATCCCGGAACTGTACTTACTGACCACAGTAAAGTAATATTGTCAGACTCAGACACTCCAAAAACACCTTACCCTGTTATTGTTGACTCTGTATACAGCAGAGCTATCAGTAATGGAAGTCTGCGTATCTCTGTAAAGGCCTGTTAACAACTGTAAAAAACAAGATGGGAGAGATCAGAGTAAACACATTAATAGCAAATATAAAAAGTGTACTATTGCTCTCGCTCTCCCAGGTATAAAGTCAAATAAATGAATGCTGCTTGCAATACCTAATAAAAGAACCATATTGGTGTTTGTTGTTGTTGTTAACCTGCAGAACAATCTAATTAACTGCACATTTCATTTCCCTCTCCCACCAGAAGGAAAAAAAAACAATGATGTTATTTTCAAACTAAGGTTAGTGGCCAAATTTACTGACCTTCCATAAATATTTTTAACTATCAAAAAATAGAGAAAAAAATGATTAGAGATTATTTCTTTAGTGGAAGGAAAATGATTTAGACTCTCGAAGAAGAAAAAGGAAAAAGCCTCTTCTAGTATTCTTCATAGTACCACAAACATACACACAATTAAAAATGCTAAACATATTAAAAATAAATGTTAGTGAAAAGAAGCCTAACTAGTCAAATATTTCAAAGAAAAATCACCCTTTAAAAAATTTTTTTGACAAGCTTCTCAGAAGGGTTTGTTACACAAGTAATTATAAACTATCTACAGGTCACTGGCTTTTGCTTCTTCAGCTGTTCTGGCATCGTTAGCCACACAATGAAACTAGTTACATAAAATCCTTAAATGTGATAAGGACTAAATGTCAGCATCTGGCAAGTGCAAGAAAATAGAAATGGTCAACAAATTCCAGTTTATGGATTTTCCAAGAGCCTTTTTGTCCTCCCAAGTACGTCAAAAAGTAACTCCCAAATTTGCTGGCATCAGTTTCTAGTTTTTTATTTACCATGAGCTAACAGGAATACTGGGATACCCTAAAATCTCCTATGAAGTTTAATAGAGGTGTAAATCAAAAAAACACTTACCCTGACAAAGAGCAACGTTTTCCCTGAGTCACAAAGGCCAACAAGAAGAACAGCTCTCTGACTGCTCCTTCTGCTCCGTATGAACTTCCAGAACACTGCAGAACAGACAGAAAAACAACCAGATATTACACCTTGATTTTCAAGAGTCTGCATGTATGGTTGGGGTGGGGGAATTAACGTAGTCTACATAAAAACACCTCATTCTCCTGGAACTTAACTTTTATTGTTATCTCCATCATTATAATGGTTATTGTTGTCAGGGACCCATTATGTACCAGTTACTATGTATCAACTTTTCTGTGTCTGCACCAAAAATACCCAAACCCAAACCCACTGCCATGGAGTCGATTCCAACTCATAGCGACCCTATAGGAGAGCACAGAACTATCCCATAGGGTTTCCAAGGCTGTAATCTTTACGGAAGCAGACTGCCACATCTTTCTCCTGCCGAGCGGCTGATGGGTTCAACCGCCAACTTTTTAGTTAGCAGCCAAGCGCTTAATCACCGCGCCGCCAGGGCTCCTTCCCCGAATGTGGACTACTCAGGTGCAATCTTGCCTTACTTACCTTTGTGTCCCCAACGCCCAGCTCGCAAACCCAAGGAGCTCAAAGGTGGTGTAAAGAACCTATGAATCTTAGCAGTAAGAGTAGCGGAAGCTGGGAACAGGCATAGCAGGGGCGGATAAAGGAAGAGTAACCCGTGCCATAAGGGCTAGGATGTCCCTTCGTAGGTAGCTGAGGATCACTCTATAACGCAGGGTACAGCTCAGGCGGGGGAATGGGGGCCGGGGTGCGGGGCTAGTAAAACGGGTTAGCTTCTCTTCAGCTGCCCCAAGGTCTCCCCTCGGCCCTGAGTTCGCGGCCTGCAGGAGTGCAGACGAAGCCCGGACCCCTGCCCACCCCATACCCGCCATAACCACCGGCTGGCCTCTTACCCAGCGTCAGCAGCACCGCCAGAAGTGCCACTACTACTGACAGCAGCGTCGGGTCTCTCTGCTGCAGCTCCTGCCGCAAGGAGTCTAGGTAGGGCTGAAAGGCTCCTCCAGCACCGCCGCCATCTCTGACCCGCTGCGAGTCCGCGGAAGCCATGAGGACTGTGGTCTCTTTCCGCCGAGCGTGGTCTCTGTCGCCCCAACAGCGACGTGGCTCTAAACTCTGCGCAGGAGCAGGGAGCGGTGTATCACGGGAGTTGTAATTCGTAAACTGTATTTCCTCCTTTGGGCCGCCTGGATTCCGAAAGACCTGTTGGGAGTTGTAGTCCTCTGTGACACAGGTGGTGCTAGCAACGAAGCGATTAAAAGAAAAAACAAGCCCCTTGCCGTGGGGTTGACTGGGACTCATGGCAACCCCATAGGACAGGGTAGTGCTGCCCCACAGAGTTTCCGAGGAGCGCCTGGTGGATTCGAACTGCAGACCTTTTGGTTAGTAGCTAAAGCACGTAACCACTATGCCACCGCCACCAGGGTGTCCGGCAAGGGGATAGGAACAGGAACTTGACCGGGCGCCAAAAAAAAAAAAAAAAAAAGTTGCCCTTGATTCTAACTCACAGCTACCCTATAGGACAAAGTAGAACTGCCCCAAAGGATTTCCAAGGAACGGCACAGTCATCCTTTAAAATCTGGGATTAGCATCGGCTCTTCAACGGTAGTTGAAAGAATGATGGAAGGAATTAATGGAATGAATGACTCAAGAAATCTCCACAGAGGATTTCCAGTCATTCCCTTCGTGAGTTGAGTCTTGTGAGGGACTCAAGCATCATACAAACTTTTAATCTGAATGTAATGTGGCAAGGGATGTGACAGAGGATGTTCGGCGGGATGTGGGAATACAGAAAAAGGACACCCTATTGGGGTCTTAAAAGCCTGTCAGCCATGTAAGATACTCCACTGGTCTCACCCCTTCGGAAGCAAGGGAGAATGAAGAAAACAAGATACAACGGAAAACTTAGTCCAAAGGACTAATGGACCACAACTACCACGGCCTCCACCAGAACAAGTCCAGTACAATCAGATGGTGCCCGGCTACCACCACTGACTGCTCTGACTGGGATCACAACAGAGGGGCCCGGACATAGCTGGAGAAAAATGTAAAACAAAATCCTAACTCACAAAAAAAGACCAGATTTACCGGCCTGACAGATACTGGAGAAAACCCTGAGAGTATGGCCCCGGGACACCCTTTTAGCTCAGTAATGAAGTCACTCCCGAGGTTCACCGTTCAGCCAAAGATTAGACAGCCGCATAAAACAAAACGAGACTAATGGGGCACAACAGTCCAGGGACAAGGACTCAAAGGCAGGAGGGGACAGGAAAGCTAGTACTAGGGAACCCAAGGTTGAGAAGGGACAGTGTCGACATGTTGTGGGGTTGTTAACCACTGTCATAAAACAATATGTGTACTGTTCAATGAGAATCTATTTGTTCTGTAAACCTTCGTCTAAAGTAAAATAAAATAAAAGGACGCTGAGTCCATCGTGGGTTCAGAGAAAAGCTCCTGGAGAGAAGTGAATGGAACTGCTGAAGGAAGAGTTAGCCTCTATAGGTGGTAAAAGGAGACAGGAGTGTCCCATGAAGAAGAAATATCAGTACATGCCAATGACATATACAAGAAACACAGCAATTCAGCATCCCCAGACAGTAATGCTAGTGATAGCAAGAGCAGCCAGCAGCTGCTTGGCCATTATCAAGCAAGACCTGCTCCTCCTGTCCATTACCAAGCAAAACCTTAAGTGATAGACAGTGCTGTGTGTGGCTCAATTAGCAGATGCTCAGCCATTACCAAGCATAACCTGCCACCTCCTGTCCTTTGTCCTCAAAGACCCTGAATGCTGTGTGTGGCTCAGTTCCTGCCCTAAACCAGTCAAACCCAGTTTACTAGCCTCAAACGTGTAAGATCTCTACCCAGGGCAGGATTTAGCCACGATTTTCCATACATACTAAGGGAAAAAATGCAATTTGTCTTACTGTGCCTGTGTGCAATCATAACCTATGTAGTCCATGATGTTTGTATGTACTTCCTTGTGAAGGACAGTATAAAAGGTTCTGCCTCCCTTTGTTCAGGGAGCTTGATTTAAGGTATACACCTCCTTGCTCCTTGCCTGCCTCCTCACCTTGGTGTGTCTTTATTGATGAGAAGCTGCACTAGGCAGGACCTGCTTAGGGTAACACAAGGGCTATAAACTCAAATGTCTACATTAAAGTAAACAGCCAGGAAAATCAATGGGGTGGGTGGGAACTACTGAAAACCACAGCTGCCATTCCCCCACCCAGAGCAGGCAGCCACTACTCAGCAGGCAGGTATGTGGGACCAGGGTGGCCAGCGCTTCCAGATTTTCAAGAGAAGCCAGAAGGGCTGGGTTTTATGGGAAATATTCAATTTTTTTAAATTTTAAGGAGTAATTGAAAGACGGGTAAAAACTTGTGATCCAAATAAAGCAGCTCTGTGGGCTACATTTGCAGTCTCTGTCATTAATTAAGCAGGTGATGGAAAGTGACAAAACACGGAAAGGCTGGACTTCCTGTAACACGTTGCTATAGACAGAAGCACCATGCCATCCCTCCACAGCAAAGACCAGAAAAACTAAGTAAAACACAGACAAACGTCAGTCCTGGAACCCTAAGCATCAAATGAAGAGATAAAGAACTCAACCAAGCACCGAATGGAATAAGAAACTGTTCGAGAACAGAGAGCAAGGAGAGTTACAAGCAGAGGTCCCCTATCAGCTAACTAAGCATGGTTCCACCATCTTGGACTCTTGTCGGAGATCAGCGGACAGGGAGAAAGGGGAAAGCAATTCATGGAGCTCCCAGCAGGAGACAGAGCACCCAGTAACCAACGAGACATACTTTCCCACCCCTATCCTGCTTCCCCCTGAATGGCCTTTGCCGCTTCCCATCTGGCCAATTCGCTGCTTCCCAGCCAACCAAGACCACGGCACAGGAGGCACTGGTTCCATGCCGTGCAGATTCACCCTGCCCACACTGGCCAGCTTCTTTATTGCCATTTCTTTGTTGCTGAAGTTGCTTTTTTTGGCCTCTTTTGGATTCTTCCCTGCCTCTCATCTCCTCCCCCTCCTTTCTCTTGAACACCTGACTCCATGTGCCATCTTTGCTTCTTCTTCACAGGCTGTGAAGCACTGCTCGGCTGGAGAACTCTTTCGTCCAGCTGTGCCACCACACTGGTGGGATCCCTGGGGGCTTTTTTGTTTGTTTTCTCTATTTTTCTTTTTATTCTTCTTCATTTCTCAATTTCTCGTCTCTTTATACTTACGTTCTTTACCTTTCTCCTGAATATCTGGCTGGTGTATCATCTCCACCCCTTCTAGCCCGTCTGGGAGCTGCTTCCATGGTCTGCACAGCTGCATTGGTGGGATCCCTAGGGGCTTTTTTTTTTTTTAATTTTTATTTATTTTATTTT